TGCTATTGGCGTTTTCGGTTGTGCTCTTGGAATCCTCGTCACTGTCGTTTTGATCACCATTATCACCCCCGGGTTCCTTATCGCCGGTGTTTTCATTACTGCTGCCTATTACTTTGTTGGTGCTTTCTACCTCCGGGCCTCCAGAGATCTCAAGCGTCTCGAGTCCGTTCAGAGGAGCCCTCTGTTCCAGCAGTTTGGAGAGACTCTGTCTGGCATGACGACGATCCGAGCTTACGGTGACGAGCGCCGCTTCATCCGCGAGAACCTGTCCAAGATCAACGTCCAAGCTCGTCCCTTTATCTATCTTTGGGCTGCGAACCGTTGGCTTGCGTTCAGAACTGATGTGCTTGGTGATACGGTTTCATTCTTCGCTGGTGTCTTCATCATCTTCAGCTTGGGCACGGGCAGCGTCGATGCTGGCTCTGCCGGCATTTCCCTCAGTTACGCCATTGGCTTCACCGAGAACGTCTTGTGGCTCATCCGTCTCTATGCTATCAACGAGCAAAACATGAACTCGGTGGAGCGTATCAAGGAGTACTTGGATGTCGAGCAGGAGGCCGAGCCGATTGACGAGAAGAACCGACCCCCCAAGAACTGGCCTAGCCAAGGATCTGTAGAATTCATCAACTACTCCACTCGTTACCGCGCAGACTTGGACCCCGTTCTGCGTGGTCTCAGTTTCAAGATCAACCCCAAGGAGAAGGTTGGCATCGTTGGCAGGACTGGTGCTGGCAAAAGTTCGCTTGCCCTGGCTATTTTCCGTGCCCTCGAGGCCGACGAAGGCAAGATTCTCATCGACGATATCGATGTCGGCCTCATTGGACTCCGCGACTTGCGTGAGGCCATTACTATTGTTCCCCAGGACCCCACCCTTTTCATGGGCACCATTCGCTCCAACTTGGACCCCTTCGATGCGTACACGGACGAACAAATCTTTGAGGCGCTTCGCAAGGTGCAGCTTATCGGCCCCAACGAGTCAACTTCCAGACCGGCAACCAGACCGACTACGCCGTCTGCCGGGTCAATGTTGCCCGCCACGCCCAACCTGGGTCTTATTCGTGGAGATTCTAACTCTAGCCCTGGCTCCTCCATTGCGCCTACAAACAAGAACATCTTCCTCAACCTTTCTTCGACTGTCTCGGAGTCCGGTTCCAACCTGTCTCAGGGTCAGCGCCAGCTGCTCTGCCTCGCCCGTGCCCTTTTGAAGCGGCCCAATGTTCTAGTCATGGACGAGGCGACAGCTTCCATCGATTACGCCACCGATACCAAAATCCAGGAGACCATCCGCGAGTTGACAAGCACCATCATCACCATTGCCCATCGCCTGCAAACTATTGTGGATTACGATAAGGTTCTCGTTCTCGACAAGGGTGCCGTCGTCGAGTACGGTCACCCGTACGAGCTGATTCGCAAGGAGAACGGCAGCTTCCGTGGCATGTGCGACATGAGCGGAGAACTGCCATCGCTGCTCAAGGCCGCCAAGAAGAAGTGGGATTCTGGAAGACTGGTTGACGTTGATGACGAGGAGCAAAATACTCAGTCAACACTTGTTGAGGGCGAGGCTCAAAAGGTCACCGAGGAGGCGAAGAAGAACGACGAAGAACAAGATAAGAAGAAGGTCGAGGCTGAAGTCGAAGCTAGAAAGAGAGCAGAGGAGGATGCAAAGAAGGCCAGGGAGGCCGAAGAAGAGGCTAAGAAGGCCGAGGAAGAGTCAAAAAAGAAGAAGGCAGAGGAAGATGCCAAGCAGAAGGCCGCTGATGAAGAGACGAAAAAGCAGGCCGAAGAGGAAACGAAGAAGCAGGCAGAAGATAAAGCCAAGGCCGACGAGGAGGCCAAGAAGGCTGGCGGAGGATAATTGGGGAGTCAGAAAGCGAAAGAGAGACTCTGGCCACTGCACAAAAGCTACTTCTTCGTGTACTATTGCTTTAAGCAATCAGCGTGGGTAGGCTTGTATCGTCTAGCTTGCGCCAGCGTTGGCTGCTGTGTTTTAATAAGGGCTGGGTAGTGTCAGATTCCGTAGATACTGGAAAACTTTTCTTTGTCCATTCATATGATGGTTTAATAGCTATGCCGCGTTGTGACTGTTGTGAAGAGAGATTGGTCAACTACGTCCTTGGAACGTGTTGTGCAACGTTCAGTGAAACATCATGGCACCAACTTTGTCGCCATCGTATGCGAGCAAGCAACCGTAGACGTACATATTTACAAGTCCAACAATAGCTAGATCTTTCAATTCCGATAGCTACATCCTCTCCTACTTGAACGTTGAACAGGAAGCTTTTAGCAATTTTCAAGTTGGGTTGTAGAAGTAGACACAGAAGAACTGTGGTGTCAACGGTCAACTACCTCTGGCCCAAAGAAAAAGCAATGAACCCCTGGACTACGTCTTGACACATTCGTAGACTGGAAACTCCCACCAAGGAATAAAGTATAAAACGCAAAAAAGAGATCATTGCTCCCGTGAAGGAACTACGCTTTTGTATGCCTCGTGGCGGAATCGAACCGCCGATCTTCTCATGTCACTAGGTACTAGTGAGACGCTATACAACTTAGCCAACAAGGCTTGTTGTCTTGATTCATGACACAGGAGGCGATGGAGGAAAATAGAGAGGGTTGCGGTGTGGGTTTGTGGGAATCGTGGTGGAGATGTGAGTGGGTGGAGTTGCGGAATGGGTGGATGCTGTGTGTCTGGGGAGTTGGGTTGGTGACGAGGTGAAGGGTGTGGGGATGGGTATGTGAGGCTTGATGGGGTGGGGGTTCTGGGAGTAGAGAGGGCGAGACATCATGAATTGGAATTCATGAGAGAGTGTGTGTGGTTGTGGATTTGGGTACATGGAGGTTCAAATGGGTTGGCTTCTCATTGTCTATTGGTATTGTGTAAGGCATAATCCAGGGCAGCAACATTGCCCGGGGGACGTGGGTTATATCTTCGTTTCTGAAATAGCTTGTTGATACATCAGACCGTGTAAGTCTAAGACGATAACCTGAGAAAGTTGAGAACGCCTGCCTAAATGAATAAGTCCACGTGCCTACAATCCTCGCTTTCTTGGAAACATTAGAGAGAACGAGTAAGTAAGGGATTGGTTTGCTATAAATGTCGCAATATTCTACGAATTCACAGACGTCTGAGTTAAGGCCAATGTCATCATCTTCGAGGCAACCGTTTTGCCTCTTTGCGCCAGGCTTGGAGACTGGGATAGTTGAAGATTGGGATAGCTGACGACTGGGATGAGGTTCTCTGCGTCCAGAGTGTCCAAGATACATCGTGTTCACTCCTTGCGCATTTTGAAAAAAAAGGAGGGGGGATGTCCTTGTCCCCTTCTAGCTCTCGACTTATACGTTGAAGATTATGTGTCTGTTTACAAGGGGAGAGAATTTACGACTACGTGTACACTGCTACTTGAGACATGGCTAATGTATGATTGATGTCCGTTTTAAGTGTTGCCGAAGCCTCTCATAACATAGAAGACTTCAACAGCTCCCAAGTTAGAAGGGCTCAAAACCCGAAACGAAGTTATCTTGAAAAGCGAAACGTAAAGCTGCCGCAGCGGTCCTTCTTTTATGCCTAGTGAGGAGGACTCCAAGCATACTATCTCGGGGAGACAGCAAACAGAAAGCAAACGTCTTCTCTACAAGGCTATAAATGTATCGCGCGATGCCCTCCATCTCTTTTTAATTCAGCAACTCGTCTCTTTGTGCGTTTGGTTCCGAAGGACATGTGCTCTCTTTACCCAGAAGATAGCGAACAAAATGGAAACGCCCGGGAGAAAGTAGATGCTCTACATTGGGGCATTTACTTTTACCCCAACACCCTACTTCCTTAGTAGTAGTTTCTTGCCTCCTATTCATAGAGGTATATACTGACAAAGAAGGACAGTCTACTTGAGTACTTGAATGATGTTATCTACTAGAGGCACTTTAAGCTAGAAAAAGTTTCGATCCATCAAAGAAGTCCCACCAACTGAGAACAGCCACCTGAAGCATGACCAGAATGGCGAAAGCTATTCAATATGGCTAGCCTAAAAAGAAGACTCTGACCACGACTCAGGCCAATATTGATAGTCGACTCTTCCCCAAGTTAATCCACTAGATGACAGCAAGGCACTCCCTGCCTTGCTCGCGTGAAGACACACAGAGGATCATGAGGGCTGCCATTTCTCGAGGCTATCCAGCATAAATAAAGGAGTCTGATGACCTCCTCACCAGTTGGAGAACCTCCATCCTCGATCAAGACGTCTGGAAAAGGAATAGTAGACCGATTCCCGGCTTCTCTGCCTTCTATCACTAGCGCACAGTCGCATATCTACACGCAATACATCGAGTTTGGATCGAGAACTCCAATTCAAAGAGCCAAATTCTTCTAACCATCGAACACACGGAATGTAATCATAATTCCATAATGCCTCCAGCGAAGATCCATCGTCAAAACCACTCATTCAACGAAGAAGGCGAAGTAAGAGATAGGCCCGAGAAACGTCCTCCTTACTCCGGGAACTACCCTGAAAAGACGCTCTAACCCGCCGTAATACATACAAGCATCAGCGTAGACCAAGCACATCTCTATTTCCTCACCGAGGCGGAACGTAACCCAGGAGGACTGATGGCACGCGTGATCCACAAGTGTACAGTATCGTCATGAAATGCCCTTCACTTGGCCTTACCCACCGGCGTGATCCATCGAACCACCTACAAGCTTCAAATATGCGAGGAATCGTCGACCTTCTGAAGACGCATGGCCAAAGTGAGGCGATCTTATTTTCCAACTTTCGAATAAAACCTCATAGATCCACCTAGTATGGCTTCGGGGTATGCTTCACGGATCAAGAAAGGCACTTGGACTAATTATTCGCCTCGGCTGTGAGACCTCCTTGTTTTCCCGAAGAGTACTTCACAAATCAAATGCTAGAATTTTATTCATCCTCTGCTGTCCTCACGCGTCCTAGCTATGCCTCATCTTCAAGAGTAAGATGAAGGTGGCCTGCCTCTATGTAGTGTCTGTACTACAGAATGCTAAGGTTCTTGGTTTCCTCACGCAGGCTTCTAAGCTGCGCTTGGAACTCCTTGTTAACCCACTCCCAGTAAGCATTCCACGCCTGGCTGGCACCTCCAGCACTCGCGTTGGCTGCCCCCTTGCCAGAGCCATCCTTTGCACCCTTGAGCTTGTCTCCGAGCAAGAGCGTGACCCTAAGAACGCTCTTGTTCGCCTCCTCCTGCTTCTCCACATCCGGCTTGACGGCTCCGTCCTTAAGCTTGGTTGACAAGATGGCGCGGTATGCCTCGGCGATGGAGTCAAGGCGACGGCTAGTCTCATCAGGATCAAGCGCGATAAGCTTGGAGACCATTAAGTTGCAGAGACTGCGAATGTCGTTGTCATCTTTCAGACCAGCGACCACGCGGTCGTAGAAGTCAATGTTGTTGATTCGCGAGAAGGCCGTCTCCATGAGAGCGTACAGGGTCTCATAAGCGCTCTATGTCTGTGGTTAGCAACAGCCGGCATCAACCCTCCGAGATAAGACATGACATACCTTTCGGACTTCAAGGCCATCATCCACCATATGTTTGAAAGGGCCCATCATGACCTCTCTGATCAATTGTGGCTTGATCACCGACTCGGTCAACACAAACGGCATTAGCTCGCCGAGGTGAGGCAGGATAAGATCGGGCTTGTTGTGTGCAGCCGAGTTGAGTGTCGACATCGCCAAGCGGCGGTTGTCCATCTCCGAATCCTGCAGCATGACAAGCAGCATATCGACAAGGACATTCTTGAGCATGGCGTCGAAAGCCTCGTCACTATCAGGAAGCGTGTATCGAACAGCCTGAACAGACATGCCCCGAATGTCGGGGTTCTCATTTCTGAGAAGGGACTTTGTTGTTGTTAGTTTCACTCTATCCGTGATGAATTTGTTCAATTTACCTGAAGCTGAGGCATGAAGGTCTGAGAGTCGATAATAGTCAGTCGTCCCACACATTCCGCGCACACCACTCGGTTATCGGGAATAGTAGAGGCGGAAAGGAGGTGCTGCCAGATATCGGCCGCGAACTTGGAGACTTCGGCAGAGAGAACGTTGACTTGCTGCAGGATCTCCTTTATCGACTGGATAAGCAAGTATTGCGTGTTGCCACCCTTCTGCATGGTTGCCAGAATGACTGGGAGGTATTCGGAAACATTGCCAGAGCCAGCACGGCCAAGGGCCACTGCAGCAGAGATAGAGACCTTGTCGGGCTCTTCGTGGAACTGTTGCAAGAATAGTTCCGCCTTCAATGGCGAGTTGGCTCCAAGACGGAGACCAGCCTCGCCGAGCACCGCAAGCGCCAAGCTCAAGCGAGCGTCGTCCTTGTTTCTGGAGCTGGTTTGCAACTCGGAAATGAAGCTCTCGACTGTGACGCCAGCCGAGCTTCCACTGGCCACAAGAAGTGCACCAATGACCTTGCCCACGACAACGGGGTCTCCTTCGATACTAACGTCATTGAGAAGCCCTTGCATGAGAGGCTGGCCAGCGCCGCTCTCGCCAACTTTGGTGACAAGAATAAGAATTTGGTCTAGGACGATGCTGGCATAGCTTGACTTGAGCAGACTGCAGATAGTCGCAGTCATTGACTGGGTGACCACGAGGTCGGCGTTTTCCTCGACGAGGGTCGCGAGAATGAGCAGGGCAGGTGCCAACAGATGAGTGTCGTTGTTACTAATAACGGGCACCAACGACGAAACCAGGCCCTGAATAGTGTCTGCATCCAATTGACCTCTGGCGGTCGGCGACATAACCAAATGCTTGAGTGCGAGCACGCTAGAACCGCGAAGAGCCCGGTTGGCCTTGCGGAGTTGTCCCGCAAGCTCCAGGGCGACCTCCCGAATCCACGACGTCTCGAGCTGGCCACTGCTAGTGCTGAAAGCTGCGACGTTATCGACGGCTCTGACGGCAGCCAGGCGAGTCGTCTCGTTCTTGAGGCGGTCAAGAAGTGCAGTCAAGGCAGCCTGTCGCTTGTCGGCTGGGGTCAGACCATTGCCGTCGGCACCGGAGGTTCTAGACAGCAAGACGCCCAAGGCGTGGATACCACGCTGCTTGACTTCAGCATCGGCGTCAGTCGCAGTAATTCTGTTCATGATCGTGTCGAAGAGCTTCTGAAGCTCGCCCTTGAACTTCTGTGCCGTCATCTTGGACCGAGGGGGAGTGATTGCCTTTACCAACTCCTCAATCGTTCCGATGGCTTCACTTGAGATCTTGTAGAATCGATCGTTGGCTGCCGAAATGACACCAGCCACTATCTTGGTCAGGTACGGCTGCAAGAGACTTGACGAATGGGTCTTGGCAATATCGCTGGTAAGTTTCAGGGCGGCAACACGCAGAGTGCTGGGTGTCGCGGACGCATTTCCACCAGAGGCAGCCAGAGATGAGGCGAGTGCTGAGGCTCCCGTGGGTTTAATAGACTCAATGATGGGGCCGATGGCGTCGTTGAAATAGTCGGAAAGACCACCCCGCTGGACCGTGATGATATCGTCGAGGAGGTTGATGATGGCCTGCTTGGTAGGAATAACCTTGCCCTTGAGCAACTTGGTGGAAGCCTTCACAATCGTCGGGGTGAAGCGAGCCAAATCTGCGCGGGGTCCAGTTGAAGGGATTCTCTCGAGGGTGGGGGATGTAAGACCTGTGGCGGCATGAGGGGTGCTCATAGAACCGCCGCCGCTGCTCTGACGTCTGCGTTTTCTGCTGATGGGGATGGAGCTAGGCGCCTCGGGCTCTTGATCGTCGAGTGAGAGATCAGTGGGATACATGCCCTCGCCCGTCTTGCGCACAAGAAGAGACAGACAAGCAATAACTTCTAGACGGACGTTCTCCTCTCTCTCGTCGAACCTCTTTACCAAAGTGGGTCCAGCCTGGCTGTATAGAACACCGTTCTCTAACAAATCACCACTTCCACGGGTTGAGATGAGGGTGTAGAGAGCCTTGGCGGCACAACGACGAACCTTCCAGCTTGCGTCATCATCATCAAAGCCAGCATCGTCTTCAAATTCGTCATCATCCTCATCCTCATCCTCGTCGTCAACGTCCATATCTTCGTCATCGTCGCCCATTGCGTAGTTGGGGTCGTACTTGAGATATCTGAGGGTCGCCTGGATGGTTTGGTCGGTAAATGGGCGCATCTGCGTCGGGCAAGCGGCGAGGAATGACTCCAGGGCAACGAGAGCGGATTCCCGCACCTCGTTGAACTCCTGGCCAATGTCATCTCCGTCGCTGATCTCCTCCAGATGCTTCTCAAGCTCACCCTCGCTCAGAGCTTGGAGAATGAAGGGCACCAGAGTCTTCAGGTATGAGCCGAAACGATTGGGAATGGATCTTGCCAATGAGCCAGTGATTGAAATATAGAGACGGCGTGTGACTGCAGAGATATCGGCCTTGTCCAGGTCGTTGCCCATTCGGTCGACCATCTGGCTGAGCAACTCGTCCGACAGGTGAATAGCAAGTATCGAAGTAGCCACGACAGCTCTCTTCTTCACGACTGATGATGTCTTGTCGTTCTCGAGCAGACTAATAACCGCATCTTGCATCGCCTCGACCTCGAGGGGCGAGAGCATCACGCCAAAGCATCTGACAACCTCGATAAGAATGTCCACCGACTCTGCGCTAAGGTCTTTGTCCACCTTAAGGAGACCCTGCGGGACGGGCGGCAACTGAATGTTGTTCGAGGGGTTCTGCGGCTGCACCTTGCCACCGGGTCCCAGAAGTCGCGGGATCAGAACGCGGCTGACGGCTTGGTATGATTCTGTCACGTCCTTGGCGGGCGGCAAGCCAGGTGTGGGTTTCGGGAGGGCCATGATGACGGCGCGGAGGGCGAGCGAGGGAACAGCATTGTCAACCGAGTTCTTAAGCTTGATTGCAGAGAGTTTCTCAATCATCGGTGCGATAATCGGGGTCGGTACTTTCATAACTAGCGGTCCGAGACTGTGTAGGGAAACTGTTTAGCTCCTGGCATTGCTTGTCGAGCGTTGAGAAAGATTTGCAAAGATGGCAAAGGGGTTCAGATTCTCGCACCATTTGATCGCCAGGTTCTGCACCTCTCCATTCTGGTCGTCGAGCGCCTTGATGATGCTATCAACAGTACGTGCGGCGACGTTATAGTCGTGGTGCAAAAAGTCGGGCTTGCCGTTCGCTAGGACCTGGAGCAGATCGTTGAGCGACATGAAGCGGAAATCCGGGTCTGCGTCTCCTAGCTTCTGCACGAGCTGGATCACTGTCTGCGGCGTCGGATTCGCCGGCACGCTTGACGAAGCCATCTTGGAGTGTGTCGGATGGGCTGGTTCGCTGCGTGCGAGGGTGATGGAGATGAGGAGGTTATCGCGGCAGGTGGCGTGTCAGCGGGGAATGGGTTCCTCTGACCATGCAGAGGAAAGAGAAAAGAGAAAAGAAGGTCGAAAGTCCGGCGATAAGTGAAAAGATGGCGGAAAGCTATGATATGTGTCGGGGCGGCAAATTGGGCTGGGTTGTTTTTGATGTTGGCTTTGGATCACGACAACAGAGACCCTCGTGAAAGAGGCGTTGTTGGTGGTGGGGTTACAGGTTCCAGAGCTCCAGGCAGGAAGGGCCCAGTCAAGTGTCGTTGGGCGGGATTACCCTAGACAGCCCAGCAGGTACCTCAGACAATACCTTACAGACAGAGGTCCCCTCAATGCTACCAGTTCCGGGACGTTCTTGCCCCGCGAAAGTGGACCCCTACCACTCTCCACCACGCCGGAGCGTTATGTAAGTCTCTGGGAAATCCATCAGGTCCGTGCCGGCCCAAGCTCGTTCTCCGATGAGTTATTCCGTCCAAAGATTAGATAAGCATGGAGTGGAACCTCGAGACCTTGACCCCGAGTTCCCATCTTCCCATTTCGGAATTGAGGTAAGGTAGGTAGGTATGTCGTGCGGGCCCCTTCGGCACCCCCCGGCAAATGTCGTCACCACAAAGCTGTGGGGAACCAGCCACCCCCGGCATCCAGGCGCTACACGGTATCCAGCCTCTTCCCTACCATTGGTCGATTGCTCTGGAAGCTCGTTGCTGGTGCAAGCTGGAGGCAGAGAGCTCGCAGCTCCGAGCTTCTAGACTTCGGACGGCAGGTCACTCAAAGTCAGCCAGCACAACAGGCCAGAAACCAAGGCCAAGCCACACCAATCCAACCCCAGCTTTTTTTCCCCTTCTTTTGGCTTCCTTACGTGCTTTCCCAAGCGGGTTTTTCTCTTGTTGCTCTCTTGCTCCCTTTTCTCCTTTCCTCCTGTTTGTTTTCTCTACAAAGGACACTCGCAACTATTCCAATTGGTCTTGCCATTGAGCTTCCTCCTTCCTTGTAGCGACTTGAGCATTTCCCTGCCTTCACTCTGTACTCCGTACTACACACTTTCACAATGTCTTTCGCCAGAGCAGCTTCCCTGCGTTCCGCCCTCCGATCCTCGGCGCGCCGGACGATCCGTCCCCAGTTCCGTTCCCAGGTCGGCCAGAGGACCTACGCCAGCCAACATGGCGCGAAGCCCCAGAGCGAGCTTCCTCTGTAAGTCAAATTGCCTTTTTATCCCCATCTAGAACCTAATTGGCTCCTTGAATTGAGCATATTTGTGTGAAACGGGACGACTGCCAGTCAAGACTTGCCCGAGGATGACGTGTCTGACCACTATCCGTGATACAGTGCCATTGGCTCAGCAGTCGTCTTCGCCGCCGGTCTGGCCGTCATCCAGCCATGGAGCGGCCCCGCGCCGTCCAAGGGCCACGGCGCTGCTCATGCCAAGCATGATGAGGAGGAGAAGCACGATGAGCCTGAGGAGAAGGAGGAGAAGAAAGAGGAGTCAAAGTCTGAGGACAAGGAGGAGTCCAAGCCCGAGGAGAAGGAGGACGATAAGTCTGAAGAGAAGAACGACGTGAAGTCTGAGGAGAAGTCAGAGGATAAGAAGGAAGACAAGTCCGAGAAGCCCAAGGATGAGAAGAAGGAGGAAAAGTCTGAGGACAAGCCCAAGGAAGAGTCTAAGGACGAGAAGAAGGGTGAGGAGAAGGAAGAGAAGTCTGATAACAAGGAGGAGAAGTCTAACGACAAGAAGGAGAAGTCTGATGACAAGAAGGAGGAGAAGTCAGAGGACAAGAAGGAGGAGAAGTCTGACGACAAGAAGGAAGACAAGCCCGAGGAGAAGAAGGACGAGAAGAAGGAAGAGAAGAAGGAGGACAACTAACCCTGCCAAGCCTCATCACCAACCCTCAAACGAGTATGAATGAAGCCCACAAGGCCACACTAATCATCGAAATCATGATCATGTACATACACCACAGCCAGATTCTTCCTGCTCTTCGCACTTGTTCTAATGCATAATAAAGCATGGCGGCTCTGTTTGCTCAGACGCAACAGACAATCATAGTGGAAATGGTCGTGATAGTTCATCATCGTAATAGTTGAGAGAGTCTTGAATTCATCGCATAAGGTAGTCTTTTCCCCGTATGTACACAGACTACTACGCCTGCCTGTTGTATGCAGTCCCCCGCTGTCTACTGCCGACCAATGTTTGACCTCTGAAAACGCCAAACGTAAAAGGGAAACCCATCATGCTTTGTGGTATCAAGAACAAGAACCAAAACCCCGGAACCCGAAAAGGACAGTCCAAGTAACCATAATGCTAAATCATAACGGCCAATCATGTACAAAAACAATTCTCCTCCTCCTTCTTTTTACGGCCTCGATGATTGACCAGTCGACCGCAGCTCAATGGGGCCATTCACTGGAGTGTTCTTTGAGCTCCCCAACCACCTCGTCGCCACAGAAAGGCGTGGCTTTTTCGTTAGCTCTGAACTCAGCTCTGGGTCTGCAATGTTGGCTTCCTCAACCGGGGGCGTGAAAGACCTAGCGGCCGACTCGTCTCTCGACCTTCGAGACTGTCGTGCCTGGTGAAATGAAGGCCGAGTGGTGGAGTGACTTGGCCTAGGTGCCCCGTCAAGGTTCGAGGGCCTCTCCTCGGTATGGCCAAAGACCGACTTGGTCTTGCTGCTGATAACTTCTAGCACCGTTCCAGAGGTCTCGCCGTGGCCGCCTTCTATTCCCTCGGCCGCGTCATCCGCATTGAAGCCCTTCCTCTCGAGACGTTGCATGATATCAACATCGCGCGGCCAGTAGACCCGACGTATCGCGTCGACTATCAGCTCCAAGCAGATAACGGTCGCAAGTGCAAGGAGAATAGTAGTCCAGAAGCTCAGCGTTCTACCAAAGTTATGAATGAACGCGTGGCGAATCTGATAGATGCGCAGGATGGGCCGGAAAGCTGCGGAAAGAATGATGTTCCACAAGAACCAACCCCCGACCGAGATGAGAAACCCGGCCAGAATGATTATGTTCTTGTTTTCCATCTCAAGAACCCTAAACTTGTTAGCAAAATATTATACCAAATTCCACACGAAGTAACTCACAGCAACTTGATGTTGATAAACACCACAGCAACTGTAAAGGGAACGGATCCCATAGCATAGAGCGATGTGTCCTGATCGAAAGGCAGCGAATTGTAGACTGCCCAGGTCACCCAAAAGATGATGAGAGACTCAATCAGCCCGAGGAATGTCCAGCCAATGTAAAGTTTGATGTTGAAAGCTCTGTTCTTGTGGCCAAAGGTGTAGAGCTCGGGGAATTCAAGGAGCGTCTTGGCTTGCAGATCCTTTTCCAAACCGCCTAACAAGATAACAGCGAGCGACGTGAAGAAAGTGTTGAATACCGTCAAACTCCAATTCTCATATAGAGACGTCCCGGTGTATCCCGTGTAACGCTGGAAGTAAGCCTGTGGTAGGAAGAAGACAATTTCCTTCCAAAAAGTGGCGAGAATATATCTGCCAGTCCTAAGGTAGTTCCAGCGGCCGTGGACAAAGAGAAGACGCTGCAAGAAGCGGAATTGCGCAATAGCGTAGTCGGAAATGCGAGCGGCTTGGAGACCTTCGCGGCCCGAGATACCGATACCAACATGCGAGGCTTGAATCATGCCGATGTCGTTGGCGCCGTCGCCAATGGCTAGAGTCAGGGAGTGAGGTACCTGCCGGCGAATACGCTTGACAAGAGTGGCCTTCTGCGAGGGAGAGGCGCGACAACAAATGACCGAGTCAACCCTCACTACAAGGTCGAAGAAGAGGAAGCTGAGGTCCTCGTCTCCTTCAATGATACCCAAGGTCTGACCGTCGACCACTACTACCGCGTGGGGCGCCATACCTCGGGCGACTTCACCCAGGGTCGAGAGGATTGACTCCTGCAGGTTGCCCATTGTAGCATCCAGGATGAAGACCTCGGAGAATGGCTTGCACAGGCCGGCAGAGTGACCGATATTGATGGCAGTCTCGCGCTTATCTCCCGTCAGCATCCAAACCTTGATCTCGGCGCGACGGAGCTTCTCAATCGTTTCTGGTACACCCTCTTGCAATCGATCCTCGATGGCGGTGGCACCGGCAAGTTCGAACTTATCCTCAATGAGCTCACCGGCCGCCTCGATCTTTTCTTGTCGATTATCCAAACTAGTGGTGGCATCATGATAGATCCTTTTCCACGTGTTGTAATCATCCTCGCTGATGTATCGGTAGCCGTACAGTAAAGTCCGCAGGCCCTCTGAAGCAAACTCGTTGATGTGCGTGAAGCATCGTTCGAGAACGGTGCCCTCGTTGAGAGCCACGGACTCGTCAATGAAGTCATCCACTTCATCCTCGTTTGCTGACATGGCCATGCTGTGACGTGGCGATGACCAAATATCGTGAGCGCTCATGGGCGAGAGGATGTCTGCTGAACCTCTGCGTGAGGTCCATGCGTCGGCGTCGTCGGTCACGGCGCTGGATCGTCTGAGCATGTCACCAGAAATTCTCTGGTTCATCATGCTACGTCGATCTGACATTGACGTTCTCCCAATTGCAAAGCTGCTGCGGGGCGTTCCACTCGTGCTGAGGCGTTGCTGTGCCTTTTCCCTCTCGACACTCCTACGAATCGAGGCTCTCCGATTGACGTCGCTTGCCTTTTGTGTGGCAAGGCCGCTAAGCTTGAGACGAGGCAAAATGACGTTGTCGGCGCCTTTACAGTAAACACATACTCTGCCGTCGGGCATACGCATGATGATGGACATCCTCTTCCTCTGACTGCTGAACTCAATGACGTCTAGCACCTGGTAGGTCTCTCTTTTGATCGTTCCATCAGCTTCGGGAATTTGGAGAATGACTGATTGTGCAGGCCGGTCAATGAGGAGGTAGCCAAGATCTCTCGCAGCTTCAACCAAAGCAAGTTCATCGGGAGAGGCGGCTTGGTATTCGATCTCGCCGTCTTCCTTTGTCTCGGGTAAACATGTGTGGCAGAGAGCGATGCAGAGTAGGAATTGCTTGGCTTTCTTGGAAAAGACAGTGTCCGGTTTGCGTCGCAGGTAGTCCAGGAGGTCTTCCGTCTTGAGCTCGGGCTCGGCATGAGGCGCCCGACTTGTAGAGCGTCCCCGTCCATAAGTGCTGATGGACGGCCTTCCTTGTACTGGTGTCGACGACGAATAGTTGTCGTGATCGCTCGTTGTCTTTTCGCGGTTCTTGTCCTTGCCTTTTCCCTTGCGCTTCTTGCGAGCCATGTCAATCAACTTTTGCTTGGCGTGTTCGTCTCGTTCAATGTCCATATCGTGCAGCCATGCGGTGCCGGCGACGCTCATCTTTCTGAAGCGCATCACGTTTTCCGTCAAGGTGCCTGTCTTGTCTGAGAAGACGTAGTTGACTTGGCCCAAGTCTTCGAGGATCGTCGTGGTGTTGGCAACCATTGGCGTATTAGTGACCGGGTCGTACATCTCGACGTCTCCCATCATGTAAAACTGTATGATCTTGATGATTTCCAAACTGATGTACAACGAAAGAGGGATGAGCGTGTTGAACATGAGTATGAAAGCAATAAAGATCTTTCTCATCTTAATGCGCTCGCCCATAAAGTACCAAGAAGACTCGGCAGGGTCTCGCCACAGATAGTGGCCCAAGGTTAAACCGCTGCTGAGGCCGAGTAGCACTACTATGAGCCAAACGACGATTCTGTTAAGGACACGCTGCATGGCGGGTGCTTTTGTGCGTACGTGCTTGTGAGCGTTCATTCGGATCTTGCATTCTTCACCCGTGTTCACGACGATGCCGATAGCTTCTGTAGTGTTTCGCACCGTGGAGCCGCGGTAAATGACATTGTCGAGTGACAGCGGCAGTGTCTCTCCGTTGACAGTGACACGTCCGTCGTACCTGTAAAGGTCCAGATTCGGGTCCTCGGAAACGATGGTTGCCTGACAAGACTCGATGCCTTGCAGAGTTTGACACCTTTCAGCGAGAACAGGTGAGGCTCTCTTGGCCTTCAAATTCGTCTCGCCGTCCAAAGCCATAGTCTCGATGTATGCGGTACCGTTGGGCCCGGACGCGTACAGAAGGACGATATCCGCCGGAATGTCGTCGTCGCGTTGAAGCCTAACGACGTCGCCAACCTTGAGGTCCTGCCATTCAATCTCGGTCCATCCATCGGCCGAGTATTCCGCAACTTCGCCATCCTTGTGCCTCTTCATCCTCGCTGTCGCCTTCTTGGATCGTTCGCCCAAAACCCATGCGCGACTCAAGTTTTCCGTCTTTGCCAGCAGATACCGGCGGTAGTCGTCGTATCCTTCCTTAGCCATTGATAATGACACAAACACGGCGAGAGGTGCAATGGTAGTCCACTGGCCCGTAGTGCTGAGTCCGGGGATGGCCTGAATGATACCGACGACAAGGAAGTAGAAGTTGCCCATCTTACTGAACTGGAACAGGAGCTGTTTGGGCAGGAAGCTCCATATCGTGTATCGACTGGATCGGATAAAATTACTGGCGTACGACTTCTTAGTGCGTTCGTCGATGAGAAGGTCACTCCGTTCCCTTGACATGTCGAGTGGGATATGCCTTCCATCTGCGCTCGGCGGGAGCGGCTTCTGTCGCAATAATCCCTGTACAATGTACACATTGTAGGCCTTCTTTAGCTGGTCGCTGACCGACTCCTGCGCAACGCGCCATTTTGTCCTTTTCGTTGGCTCTGGTCGGTAGACTGGATACTTGAGATCAGAGTCTGAAGGCTGCGCGGAGCTGTGGTCGCTGCCCCGTCGAGGCCGTGAGGACGAGGGCTCGTCCTGGATATGGCCCTCGAGATCACCCCTTGAGGGAATCGTGTAGAGCCCTGGCCTATTCGAGTTCGGGTGTGATGACGGCGGGTCAAAGCTGCGCCTGGAGTCTCGTTGAAGCTCGTCCGAGAAACGGACATGACCGCCGTCGAGGGCGCCTTTGCTCCCCATGGGTTCGGTGATGGCTCGTCTCGGGTTCAACCTTTGCGCTGCGCGTGGCGCGGGATTCACTGATGGCGAGGATATGTCATGAAGATCAATGTCATTATGGTCAGAGGAGGTTGAGCTCGACGACGTTCTTGGGGCGGGGTCAGCGTCTTCATGTTGCTGTGAAGGGGCGTCGCCCAGATGCCGTCTGTCCATTCTTGAGGGGCGCGCGAGGCGAGGCTTGGTCGCTTTCTGTCTAGGCCGTACACTGAGCAGTGGCAGTCTCAGTCTAGCCCCCAGAAGCGCGGATCGAGAACCACAGTGATGGTTAGCTGGTCAAGGCTAGCTCGAGACTAGAAGGACGGCAAAAATGGGCTTGTTCCAGACGGATCCCTTAGAAAGCGGCCCGGATTCACCAGAGTGGCTCGGCCATGAAGCTCTTCATTGGGCTCGTCTTGGAGGTGGCGGCGCGTTCCTTTCTGGATCTGGCGTGGTCCTTTGGAGTCGTGGGATCTCCAAGTGCCGGACCAGCGCAGGTGGCCAAAAGCTGCACAGAAACGTATATAATGGTTTTGCAGGAAGAACTGAAAGCGTCTTAAGAAAGTGGTAGGATCTGCAATTGCCGCGACGTCACGGGCGGGTATAGTGCGCAAGTGAATGACAGAACAGTCGTCTTGAAGATTAACAATTCAGGAAAATGCTAATGGTGTTGATGTTGTTGAACAGTGGTGTTGAGTAATAGTAAGCAAGGCGAGCCAGCCTCGAATCGAGGACGAGAGACGTTGAGGTAAAAAATTGGCAGGCTGGGCGGTGCTGTATTCCCGTAAGAGGTGGACGCCGAAGGAAGCGCCGGCGGAAGGTCCCCGTAAATGGAACTAGGTCGATGCTCCCCCGTCAACTGTACTCGTCAATCGTTGGCAGATTAGATACTCTGCACCTAAAGGGAAAGCAGATGAGGGCTCCTTGGCAGTTCCTTGCCTTCCTCTTGGTACTTGGTAGACACCTCACGAGTAGACACGAGTAGAGCCGAAAAGGTTGCAGCGTACAGAACTGCGCCGCCCTCAATACGCAAGTATGGACGACGACGAGGCGCTTGGCAAAAAGTCAAGATTATCAGGCCGCGGCTCACTGGTGAGTGGGTGACGAGCTGGGTTGGTCTTGGACCTCTGGGGTATTGTGTGGAAATACCCAGGAACGAATATACGTCTGGAGCCCCCAATCAATGGAGAAGGCTACCTACCGGTACACTTTTGCAAGGCAAGCCTCAAGGTGGGAGGAACCTGTCTGAGTGTCTCATGCGGGCTTGGCGCCTCTTCTGCACTGCCACGGTCATCTTGTTGCCCGATCTTTCCTTACGAAGTAGTCGTACGAATCAACGAAAAGCCCGCGGAACAGCTCCTCACCCATCACGCGCTCATCCGCGGTTCGCGGAGACGAGGAAAAGTTGGTTGGATCCATGAATCCGTGGGGCCATCGTGGTCGGCAGGTCGGGCGCGAGAAATAGCAGCCAGTACTCCATACAGCACACGAGCGAATGAAGAACGACGAAATAGAGACTTTTTCATCAAGGACCGGGGCGCGGAAGAGAAAAGTTCAGGTGGCCAGCCGCCAAAGAGCATCAGCGCCCCGGGCATGGAGAAAATGGGAAAGTCCCGGCTTCCGACTGGCGGGCCAGCAGCGGTGCAGCAGCCCATTCGATATTTTGCCGTGCCCCCGCATTGAGGACGTCATTGGGCAACAGATGGGATGCACCTGAACTTCCCAGCTGGGAATCGCCAAAGTGCGAGCGAAGCAGGAGCCAACACCCACCCATTCCTTCCATTTCCTCCCTGAGGACACAGCAGTACGTACCAAGCTGTCCGCCCATCTCCAACCACAGAAGGACCCGCTCCGCCTACAACCTGCCTGCTATCCGAACGGACGTCGGAAGCTGCGGGCGATCTGAGGAAAAGGTTTCGATCGGTCATCCATTTCTATCCATCCATCCATCCATCCATCCATCAAAGACAGCTTCAACAAGTCATTGACCATCTTGGCGACTGTCGCAGCTCCCATCACACACTTTCCTTGGTGTTTCCGCACGCATTGAAACATTGCGAATGCGAAAGCAACACCAACACTGCCCGACATTCATGACTTGGCAAATATCCTGTGCCTGTGTGGGTGTTGACGGAAGAAGACCATCCTTCAAGTGGCAGATGCAAGTCCGATTAATTACTCTGTAGCTTATTCAACAATCACGCGGTTGACAGAAAGCATCAAAGTCGCTGACAGCATCCACACGCACCTGCGCTACTCTACTGTGCACCTACACTGCCCCGACTCGCATCATCTCACGTGAGTTCAACTAGCACACGAAAGAGAAAGTGCGAGACCGTCGTCGTCCTTCAGACGAACGTGGCCGATGGCTGGTAGCCTATAGACACTGCAGGGGACTTCCTGGATATCGAAGAGACCTACCGCATACCACTACGGATACTTTGTATGGATACTGCTGCGAAGAAGGGGAAAATACACCCTACCCGATCTCTACAGTCTACAGTACCTCACCGTGAAAAGATTAGAGTTCCCCGTATCCGGCTGCATTGCCTACCCGCAAGGTGCCACAGACCCCCCCTCCGCTCCGGCGTCCAGGAAAGTAACGCCGTCTCATCTCATTTCCATCCGTTGATGCCTGCAGCAGTCCACCATGGCACCTGCTCCTGACCGTTCTTCGAAATATCAGGCAATATCCCATACCATACCGCCGGAAATTCCCGTCCAAACGTTCACACCACACCCAAAGCACAATCGTTCGAGTCCACAATGCCTTTGTATCGTTCCCGTCCGATCCGCCTTCTCGGAGCCGCAAATTTAACACGACTCAAGCGAAGAGAGAAAGGGATTGCATCTCGTGCTACGATTGAACGATTGAACGATTGAACGATTGAACGATTGAACGATTGAACGATTGAACGATTGAACGATTGAACGATTGAACGATTGAACGGAACAGGCAGTCAATGATGGACAGATCTCGCCCGGCTTACCTTACTTTATTTAGGGTACACAGAGCGTCCCTCAAGCCTCCCAAAGAACCTCCTGTTAGCAGGCCGCCGCCTCGCTGACCAGATGCACTCCAAGCACCCACCCATCCATCCCCGCCTCTCTGGACCAGCCGGGCTCGCGCGCCAACGTCCTCCGCTGAACTAGGCTGAAAGAGATGGGCAAGCACACAAGCTAGGCAGTTGGGCTACCAAACATCAGCCGACCAGCCGACCAGTCGAGACCTCACGCTACCTTTGGTCTTACACGTTGATCCTCCTTCTGCGCACACTCTTGTAAATACTGTATACCGTACAGTAAGACGCTGTATCTCTGCTCTTGGGGCAGAGCATAAGATTCGGCGAAACTCGACCTCACGTAACATGTCCAAGCCTGCCTTGCTGCGTAACAGAGCACGCGGCTGCGACAAGTCCCCCCCCCCCCCCCTCATCCCCGGGCCTTCAAGGCAGATCGGATTCTCTTCAGCCTTACCCGCACAAACTCATAGGAGGCACATCAGATGGAATTGCATTACGTCCAAGCTCCATGGGCATAATCGGTGGGGCGTCGGACCTGAAATCGAAGACGGCTGCGTCGGTTCTGATTAAGCCTTACCTCTGGTAGCAGGGCCTACGGGGTCTTGCAAGTTACATCGGTTCACCGTAACAGTCGTGGCCATGATACATCACCGGAGAGCATCATGGGGCTGATCATTTGGGAATCGTTGAAAGTCACATCACAATTAGGAGACCGAATGTTAAGGTGGGAAAATAGGGATTCAATGCCCATGTGTCTCTCAACTCTATCGTCAGTGCTTACAAGCTGGCCGCTTCTCTTTCGAAAAGCAGCCAGCCAAGCCTCTTCGCTGCTCGGCCACCGGAGGCAGCTCCCCATTACCACCTCTTTCGGTGCCGGCATTCAACAACAAAAGCCACAAAGCCCTGCTCCCACGACCCATCAAACCAAGAAAATACCCAACAATATAGGTAAACAAGTAATGTGTGTCTTGAGAGAGTTGTATATCCTCAATAAAAAAGATGTGTTGTGTGTGACTGATTACGAACCAGGAAAATCCCAAGCCACCTGGGCTTTTCCCCATTTTCATCCTCCAAAACCCGCAGCCAGGACATCTGAGATTCATGAACAATGACAGATGAAATAAAAAATATCAACGACAGCGATGTGCAGCGCAAGCCAACCAAGAGAGAAGGGAAGAATATTAGGGGCCACGCCATCGTCTCCGCGAGGTAGGCGTGGCTAAAGGACTAGATTTGGTGATGGATTGTGGGCATGGTGAGATGCCCACACCCTCGTACCAGAAGCCGGTTTCTTTGTTCGCGACAATAAATGACTCGAAGGGTGAAGTAAATCCAAAAAGTGCAAAGGTACGATCGCCTGTGCCGGACATGCATGATCGAGATTCCGAATAGAGGTATCGTCATGCAGAGTCGTCGTGGCCGATGGATGATGTGGTAGCGAAAACGGAATCACACATCATAGTCATCGGTGTTGAAAGTAGACCAAGGGCAACCCCATCTGGTATATGTCGAGCGCCTAAAACGCCAGCTGTGAATGACCAAGGCAAGCAACTCCTCTCTCCCGAATAAACCATTTGAGAGAGCACGCCTTCCCAAGTTTGTATGTACGCCATGTCCTAGTGAAAGGAACTCCGGATTCTTCCCGACTTATTCAGTACGGCAGACCGATGTCAGGAATCAGTGGGGTGTTTGGTGCATGGACTCGGGAGACATTGAGTTGGGGTCAACGTGGTCAAACTGGACCAGTTGGTTCATGTCGAGGTCGTTGTGGCCTTGCTCACCATACGCAGGTGAGTGAGGGTGCATCGGCAGGTTAATGGTGTGCTTGGAGTACATCTCGTTCAGGCCGGTACCATCATCAGATACAGCACATGATCCGTTGTCGCCCTGCTGGTAGATATCGGCGGATGCAGATCTACCAAGCATGGAGAGCGGAGGCGACTGCTCAACAATGGACGGCTCTCCGTGGTGGCTGCCGAATGAGAGGGGAGACACGGAGGGCGGGATCATGCTCGGTGACGGGTGTGCCATGGGAGAGAGGAAGGCACTGCCGTACGGCGTGTTGTAGCTGGAAGCGGCCGGGAGAGGGCTCGGCTCAGGGCCCTGGGAGAAGAAGTTGGGGCTCGTCGGGAACTCGGAAGGGGAGGCGGTGGTGGCAGACATTGGGTACTGGCGCATATCCAGACCGAATCCGGCTTGGGTGTCGATTCTCAAGTTGGGGCCGAGTCCGCCGGGCGCCTGGGGAATCGGTGCGTAGATGTTGGGACCAGGCGTCTGAGGAGCTGCCATTTCACCCGGCTGTTGGATATAGAAGGAGGGCATGGGAGTTTGGAGCATCGAGAAATCGACAGCCATGGGCACGGAGCGACTGCGCTGTCTCTTGTGGCCAGGTCCGCGCATGCCAGGGTGCATGTGGTTGATGCCCCAAGACTCCTGGAACATACCAACGTGCGGCTGGGCAAAGTTGGGCTGAGAAGAAGGGCGGCTGGGCGACACAGGAGCGGACATGGACAGGGCGTGCTGCTGGTCGATGAAGGGGTGCGGGTTGTTGCGGTTCATGAAGGCCTCCAAGGAGACAAGCTTGGCCAACTGGCCGCTGAGAACCTTGGGGTTGCCACCGAGGTGGTGAACCAAGCAGTGCGAGGCCTGCTGGTCCTCGGTGAAGTCGCCACACTGGAAGAACCCGCTGGCTTGAGGGGAGGAGTCCATGAAGAAGTTGGGAGCCCGGTTCAGCTCGATGACGATGCCACCAGGCTTGTTGGGGTCACCCTCCTGGTTCTCAAGGAAGATATTCTTGATGTAAGCAAAGGGGTACTCGATCTTGTAGCCGGCCTGCTCGTTGTTGATGTAGTAGGTCATGGTGCACTTGTCAGGGGAGTAGAAGATGATGAGATCCATCGTGTTCTGTCCCACGCGAGTCCACTTGCCGATGCTCAGAGAGCGGCAGGTGAGATGATGGATCACTGGGAATGTTAATGCTGCTTTCATCGATGGTTTGTCAGGGACTTCTTAGACTTACAAACTTTGCCCTGGCCGTTCTGGTCACCGCCGAGAAGCATGTTGTTGTGGCCGTAGGGGAGAAGACCTGTACGGCCAAGGAAGGGGCCGCCGAGGCCCTTGCCGGACTCCATCGCCTGCATAGCGAGGTAGGCTCGCATGGATTCGGGGATCGAATCGATGTCTTCGCCGGTCTCGAGGCTCTTCTTGGCCAAAAGCTTGATCTTGGCGCGTCTGTGTAGTATTAGTGGTGACTCAGGGGTATCAGGCTGCAAAGCCGGAAAACAAGGAGCAGTAGAAAGCGTACCTGTTCTGGAACCAGATCTGAACAGACCTTTCGGTCATGTTGATCTCTTCTGCTATCCGCTCACGAACGGTGGCAGTGGGGGTTGGGTTCTTGT